GCAAAAAAAAAAAAAAAAAAAAAAAAAAAAAGGGGGGGGGGAGTAGAAATAGTAATTGGTAATGTGAGGCATATAAATGTGAGAAGTAGTTTATTGCAGTTCCTTCTGCTATGTTTTAATACTAATTTAAAATTAGGAGCTTTTTCTCCAGATTATTTAACCTGTTAATGTACTCAACTGAGTTAACTCATGTATTCTAAACTAAATTATTTCCACACACCCAAGTAAATATGTTCTAGAATTTATTTTTGAGATATGACTACAACCAGGGTTCGTATGGTCCTTAAGAGTCCTTAAAAGTCCTTAATTTTTTTTAAATCGATTTTTGGTCCTTAAAAGTCCTTAATTTCGGCCAAAATCGTCAGAAGGTCCTTAATTTTAATCATATGAAATTTTGGTCTTGTTTTTACAACTGCTATTTTGAGTGTGAATTACCATTTTGGAGGAATATTTTTGGCGATTCACTGACAAATATGATTATCTTTTGAATGAGTTCATGGGTTATAATTTGTTCCTATTTCTAATAGAAAGGGTTGGGTACTTGGAGTTTCTGAGCAAGAAGTGAAACATAAGGATTTCAAAATTTTTTCACTTTTTTTAATGAAAAGCTCTTAAACAACTTTCCACTTTTGTGGATGTGAATTCTTTTATAAAACGGCTCGAAATTCGGTGACTTATCAGCATTTCGGCGATTTTAATATCACTTTCTATAGAAAATTTTTAATTCGGAGATCTGGGAATTGTTCGTCGATTTTTTTTTTTAAAAACATTATAACTTTGATAAATTTACCTAAATTAATGGTAGTATATTGAAATTATGTTTAGGAAATAACGTTAAAATACAACATTTTTTTTTTTTTCTCTCGTATTATGAAGAGACATTACTTTCCGTTTCGGCTATTTATTATACAGTATTTGGAATATGAAAAATAAACAAGATAATAAATGTTATAAAGCACAGTTTATAAAACAATTCATAGCAAAAGCAAAATAGCTATGCAAATAATTAAAAATTTCTTCCTTTCAATTTTTTCATGGTAAAAAGTTTTTCCATGTAATTGTTTCAGAATTATTAGATTATGCATAAGTTTTCTCTATAAAATTAATTTCACACTTTTTTCCACTGATTTTTTTTCAAACTATTTCTGGCCTTTTTTCTATTACAGAATTGGTAGGGCTAATTTTACTTTAGGATTTTAGACATTGCAACTTGGAAAGTTTAGAAGGATTTGAAGGCAAGATTTACAGACCCACAATTCTAGAAGGCTCCATTAAAATGTGACAAAATAAAAAATATCTTCATTGTATTAACACATAATGAATGTATTTTACAGAAATTTTATGATGAATTTCATACATTGTGAAGAATTTTTGGAAGGACACTGAAAATATAATGTTTGAATGTTGTACTTCTGATGCTAGAAGTCTTTTTCTTTTTATCTTCTCTTTCCTGTTTATCTTCTCTTTATTTTCTCAACTTTTCACTAGACACAGGCATCGGAAATACCAAAAATGTTTCTAATCTTTTCGCCTGGACAGTCATTTAGGCATTTATAAAAAAAAAAAAAAAAAAAAAAAAAATATTAATAAAGAAATTGAAAACTGACAATTTAAAAGATTCACATTATACATCTCAATCAATCATACACAGGGCTGGCGCTGGGCTTTTTCCCCACCTGATGAAATCTCTCTGGTTCTTAAATTCTGCTGCCTAGTGCCTTCCTAAATTCTGCTGCTTAATGCTCTCCTAAATTCTGCTTCCAGTCCCTGTCCTAAATTCTAAAATGTTTTGCCATTTCTAGATTTTGTTGCTCGGCGTGTCACTAAAATCTAAAAGTTCTGCCTCATCGGCTCAAACCAATCCTTACCACATATAATTTCATATTTATTCTGAATGTTCATATTACTAAAGAAATAAAATTAGCAGCTTTTCCTTTATATTCTAAATGAATTTGTTTTTGTAGAATAACAGAAAACTTTAATTCCAAAAATTCTGAAGTGCAGAGGAAACATATTGAAAGAAACTGAATACATATGCAAATTAATCAGTTGTTTAGAATTTTAGCATTTACTATAGCTTTCCATTTCCTCACCATAATGCAAATCAGATAGTTTTTTAACTGAGATTTTTGGATTGTAAGACAGAAAGTTTTTGCTCTCCACTTGGATTTTGCCTTAGTTTCTGCTACATCTGATAATTTGTAATGATTCATCTTTGCATTATCATTGCTAATATTTGAATTTGTTACTACAATAAAGTTACTGAGTCACCTTAGATTAAATTTAAATTGCGTAGTCTTTGAATACTAGTCCACATTTTTTGTTTGAATTTGGCTGTTCCTGTTTACTTGCATCACCAAAAGCTGTAGTTTATTTTGTCAACATAACATAAGAACGTGCCTGTATGTTCCATAGTCTTTTTAAATAAGAGGTATATTTGAATCTTTATGTGATGCTGTAGTTTCCTTTAGACATAACGATAATTTGAGAAACTAGTGGGAACACTAGCTTGTGTACTGAAACAGATTTCTAATTGTTAGAAAAGATGTTTAAAGAGAAGAAAATTGATATAAATTAGCCAAAATGTCTAGGAACACTTCGAATTAAAATGACACATAACTATTTTGTTTTGTAACTTTTAATGTGTAATTATCCTAATACTGTTTAGGAATCAGTGTCATAAATTGCGTGTATTTTAAACTGTAAAATGTTATTAGATTGTGATTTTAATAATGGCCATGTAAATCTATAACGACTTAGGGTATTTAACTACCTAATTTAATTATTTATAACTAACTGCTCATCTTTAAAAGTTATCTATACGTATTAAAGCAAGTTATTGCTTTTCATTAATCCACAAGATAACGCACGAAAATGTAAAAACTATTATAAACTTATTCTTTGCATCTAGGGAAACTTAAAATAATACAAAACAACTTATCACCTCTGCTATATTAGTGGCTTATTGGAACCTTAAAATAGATTAACCAGGTTACAATCCCAGAAACTGCATATGAAGGTACAACACTTGTAGAGACATTAGAATTTTTTTTTTTAACAGGAACAAATGAAAAATTAACAAGCGCCTTCACCGAGAATTGAACCGCGGACCTCTGAAATACATGCTCAGTGTGCAGACCACCACACCAAGAAGGCGGGAGAAATTCCTTATATACACCCCCTTTTAAAAGGCGACTGGGGTTTTAGGGAACCCAGTCGCCAAATCCTGGGTGAGGAGAATCATTATCCACCATCCTTTTAGATCGGGCGTCTCTGTAGAGACATTAGGTATTTTTTGGAAGCAGGAAAGATAAAAAATATGCGAAGCCTTCCCCAGGAATCAAACCATGAAACTGTCAAATATGAGCCGAGTGTGCAGAACACCACATTAGAAGACATGCCAAGAAATGTGGGAGAAATACCTTACCTACAACAGGCTTTCAGGTTTTTTTCCTGATCAACAGGTCTCTCTCTCGGCTAGCAACAGCTAATCTTCTGTTACAAATCATACTGATTATGATTTTATTTCTCATTTTAACCTATGCCATTTGACATAAAATTTACCTGCTAATTACTAAACCTCTAGACTGAATAAGTACATGGCAAAATGAGACATAAAAGAAAAAATCAGCATAAAGCTGTTAATAAAATGTAAATGAAATGTCCCCAATCTTCTTTCAAATATGTCCAACTATTATACGTGTAAAATATTTAATACTATTTGAGAAATTTTATAATGTGGATTTCATTCTCAAATTTGTTTTAAAGTTATGTTTAATAAGAATGCATCCTACTTATGGATCTATTTTATTCTTAGAATGTTATTACAAAAGTGAAATTCAGATATAACCTGATTGAATTGAATTTTTTTAGCTTCTATTGGCTGATAGGTCCTTAATTTTTTTCATTAATGGTCCTTAAAAGTACTTAATTTCCATGTGCAGAAATGTGTACGAACCCTGTACAACAGAACATATCTACAGTTTTCAAAATAAAGAAATAGTTGGAGTTAAAAATAAAGAATAAAAAATCGGCTGAAAAAAGACACTTTCTGAATTTTTGTTAGTGCATTAAGTTGGGTAAGTTTTCTGGTGGGAAGCATTAAAAATCAAAGTAAAATTTCAGGCATACTATTAAAAAATTTTCAGATAATTCTATGGTTTATAAGTTTGAAAAATATTATTTACTTGCTATATGCACATATTTTTTTCATATAATTTACTGTGCTAAGCAACGTTAAATGGAACTTCACACAAATGGCATTAGAAACTGTTGTTACAGTCTCTGTCATATCTAAATTAATCATTTTCAGTAAAAAGGCAGCTATCAAATAAATTTGGGCTTCTTGACTTAGTCAATAAAGTAGGTTGGACAATGATCAGATCAGTATAATGACTTTCTGAAAAGGCACTAAGAGATGAACTGAAATTTGATGCTTTGCAGTAGACATGATTCATATATTCATTGAAGATTTATAGCTGTGTGAGATCAGTTTTCTAATACAGAAAATCTTAAAATAATTAATAAAAAGGAATGCCATACAATATTGTATACTGTATGAATTCAGGCAGACATTTAATTCTAAAAAGAAGCATTTCTCAGCTGTCTTTTAAAGATTCTGAGAATTTAAGGTAAAACATTGCTGCCAGAAATACAATTTGGATAAAAGGTTGGGATGATTTATTTCAGGTAGAGAGTGTTTGCTAAGAAGGGATGATTTATTTCAGGTAGAGAGTATATATAAGAAGCCTTTAGTTTGTACATCATCAGCATCAGCTAGCACAGCTATCAGTACTGAATAATTTCAAATTTATTATATTATAATTGCTGTATTACTGCTCACAACTAAACATTGCCTAGCTTGGAAAACAAGCATAAACTTTTTGTATGCATATTTGTGAATTTTACAGATTTCTGTTATAGCTTTTCTAATGTTGTAATTTTTTTTTCAACCTTGCAGCATCTTAGCTTTAAATTCTATTGCATTTTCTGTTTTTAGATGAACAAAATGCCAAAAAATAAGGAAACTGCTGGTAAAAAATCTGGTAAAGTATATTTTGTGCTTTTGTATTTATCATCATCATCATTATTATTTTTTATTATTCTTGATCTAATAAAATAGTCATTCTTTTCATAAAGTGTTATGTACTGTTAGGGCTGCTGCCATATAGTTAGATTTCATTCTAGTGGCACTAAGTGGCATATTTTATGTTTGGCATTCAGTTAACAAAAGAAACTTACTTAGAAACTTTACTTACAAAAGTACTCATATAGTTTCTCTTTCCATTATATTCCACCTTGTGCTGCTGTAATTTTCACTCTATATAAATGGATTAAAAATTAGACTACATTGCATTCATTAAATCTTGATTAAATAATTCTTAAGGTATGAATACCTTTTGATTTGTTATACATTTTCAGATTTAATGTAAAAATTAATAAGTGAAAAATATAAATAGTATTCAAGAATGCATAACCCTTTATTCCAAGACCCGTGGCTTATCAGAATTCTATTGTAAAAGATGACATATGTTTTTATGACCGAAATTCAGTTGGCTGTAGGGTAGATGTGATCAAAACTAAGCCCTGGCTAGAAAAATATCTTAATTTTAGTGGTCAACCAACTATTTAATTTGGTTATGTCATATAAAACTTCTTCGCAGGTTGTCTTACACGGAGAAGGCATATTTGCCTGGAATTTAGTAGAGAAAAGAAAACTGGAGCCCATTTGCTTCTTCATGGCAAGGGCCATGGGGTGCGAAATAGTTGGGTGTGGTTGCTTTGCAAGTTCCTTTCCTGGTGAAAAAATGCAAGCATAATGGATAGCCTCTATTCACTGGTCTTTAGAAAAGTAATAAGACAGTGGGCTGCGAGGCCAACTGTAGAGAAAGCAAAAATTCACAGTCTATGAAATTGTACTTCATAAACAATTAAATGTTGTGGATCAAAATCCATGCTTCAATGCCAAATTTGTCCAGTTCTCTGACTTTTTTTTAAGCTAAAACAAATTGCTGTGTACAGCATGGGAAAAAAAAAAAAAAAAAAAAAAAGAAAGAAAGAAAGGTTGAACTGCACCAAAATAAAGGTGCTTTGTTAGCCCAGAAGGGCTATTACCGTATTTGACGGCATATAAGACGCACCCTTATTTAGAAGGCCACACGCATGTAGATGTAGAAAAAGTTATTTGTGTCTAGACCTTTATCCGTGCTAAAAATAGCATTCAGTATTGAAAGTTAACCTATGTCCTTCACGTATAAGACGCAGGTAACTTTTGTGAGACCAAATTTAGGAAAAAAAGTGTGTCTTATATGGCGTCAAATATGGTAATTTCGTTTTGGCATTTTGCATTGAAAACTTTAAATGTCGGTTCACTTTTCAAACTGTTGCCACCAAATATAACAGCCATGTATTATATTTAACAAAATTAAATAATTAAGAATCTGCATAAGTGTATGTTTGTTTCTGGCATTGTGATAAAACAATGGTACCTAGAGCCATCAAATTTTGAATAATGTACAATTCCACCTGAATATGGACATCTGGAAGCACAAATTTGTATTTTATTATCTGTTTCATATTTTGTAAAACTTTAAACGGATTTTTAATTAACCAACTCAATGATTTCAAAGCGAGCAATAGCAACGTTTGCACGTTAAAATAACGTTTGCATTAAAATTTGACTTGCTGCTCCTTTAGCACGATACGTAGCTTGCAGCTTCTTCCATATTTTACATGCCTTGTCTTTACGTTGAAGAGAAGCAATAATATTATCACTTATAAGTGAAAGTATTAAGGCATAAGCCTTTTTTGATTTCAAAACATCTGCAGCTCTGTCCGCACTTGCTTCTGTTTCTAAAAATGTGTCCAATTCCCTTGCAGTAAATACTGCTTCAACTCTTCGACACGAAACAGCAAAGTTATTAACACCATCAAATGGCGCAATACCAAAAACTTTCCATTCACTTCTGGTTGAAAAAGCCATCATTCATAAAACACCAAAAAAAATCACGTGAACGATAAGTTATGACACTGGCATAGAAAGTTCAATGAAAAAATATCAGCGAATTCTAACTTTTGATGAACCACGCTCTGCTGTTGAACATAAAAATGCCATGGCTCAAAAAACAAATATGTATTACAAAGCAATATGCAAAGATACATGCAGAGTTACATACAGAGATATACTAGCAAAGTTACATGTAGATTTAGAAGAGAGGTCATATATCTAACAACAGATCATGGTTTAACAAATCATAAACAAAACACATAAAACAACCAATCAAAAATAACATAAAAGAATGGGATTAAGTTTCAGAATAATTCGGACCTGACTGAAAGCTAATGAATATATCGGACGTGACAGAAAGCTATACTTCCTTTTAACCAGTAATAATGTGATTACAAATAGCTCAACAAAAGCAAAATACCATGAACGATATTTATTGAGTTTTCTTAATCCTGACTTGCCATTAGCTCTCTTCAGTTATGCTTCGAAATACACAATTGGATCCGTACTGCAACAGTGGGAAGAAGGCAGCTGGAAACCCTTAGCTTTCTCCCAAAAAAGTTAACCAATGCTCAGAAAGGATATGGTACATATCCTAGCCTTTTATCCTGGGTCTTCAAATATTTTGCTCTTCCCAAATGTTATATTATAGAGTACCAGTGACATTCTGTGCCTGAGATCCTATAATGCCTGTTTGTATTGAGTATACACCGTATCCACAAAAATCGTTTCCCGACTTTTATTCTCACAACTGTTGGTTGTAGTTGTACTTTCAATTGCAAAAATGTTTTAAATTGTACAAATTTTCATATTTTGGCATTTTATAAATTAAAAAAAAAGAATTTTGTAAAAAGGACAAGATCTAACTTTTTATGTGTGCTTCTGGTCTGTATACTTAGGAATATTTTTACTCATTGCAAAAAAATAAAATACAAAAAGTGTGACTCCCAAAAAGTTAGCCAAGGTATTTCATTTTAAATTTGGAGATCATATTAAGGGCTTTACATAAATTGAAAAGCAAAATGTTTGCAGCGATATGTAACTAAAACAAAAATAGGAGTTTAGAAAAAGGTTTCTGACATTAACAGTGATGATAATTTCTGTGCATATTGTCATGAAAAGCATTGATCAATTAAATTTTTATCTTATTCACAAAATTTTTCTTATTTTGGTCCATTTTCGCCATTTGGAAGAAAACTTTTTTGTTTTATTTTTCATAATAAGTGTAACATTTTCCTAAATATAAGTATAGGGACCAGAGGAATAAATAAAAAGTTAGATTTCATATTTTATATGAAATTAATTTTTTAATATCAAATGTCATGATATGAATATTTGTATAATTTCAGTTATTGTTGTAATTGGAAGTATATTTCAACTACTAGTGATTGAGAAAATAAAGGCCAAGTAAGGAAACTCTTAGAGGGCATTGAAATACACTGCTTTATGTAATGATAGCAAAGTTCAAATTACTTTCAAAAACATTTTGTTTATATCACTTGTTTGTCATTATCTAATTTAGTTTAATATTCTGTTTCAGTCTGTTGCTTTTGTAAAACAGATGAAAATGATGAATTCCTTTATGGAAAGTTTTACCATCTGAAGTCATTATCTGTTCATCACAACTGCATGGTAAGGTTATTGATCAAGATAGACTATTTTATGAAGGGTGTTCAAATGAAAAGGTACGAAATGACACTGTGGGTATAATTGAAGTCTTTATTCATAACCAGAGGCCTGAGCTCAACTATCCCACTGTTTCACAAGTCGAAGGCTAAGAACGGTCTCACAGTACACATAACTTTTAATGGTTTTTCCACGCTAGAGGAATTTGAGTATTGGACCTCAGATGTCGGAAAAGATGTGAGCATCACTTTGCCTGCTGGGAGCACAACTTTGAATTTATTAAGGAGAGGTAATGACACATGCTTTCAATGCATGCTGTCCCACTTTGTCTCTGGATCAAAGTGATGGCACTATCTTTCATCACCGCCAATGATCCACTCTAGGAAAACGGGGTCTTCATGATGCCAGACCAATGCATAGTTCCTTTTGTGGTTCACTGAGCTTTAGAACCCCTTGCATGTATATACCTCTTTTGGTAACCCAACATGTTTTGCACAATTGTCCTCACTGTTCCAACGCTGGTCCCCAACCATCACTGCCATTTTTGACATTGCAATATGCCAGTCACATCTCACCAGGTCGTTCACCTTTGCCTGTCCTGGTCTGGGGTATTTACTCATACTCTGCTTGCCTTCACAAAAATGAGCATTCCACTTTCTCACTAACTTGTCGGACACACAGTCTCCACTGTATATGGCCACCATTTGGTGATAAATATAGGCCGATTTCACCCACTCTCTAGTCAGAAATCTGATAACACCTCATTGCTCCTCAATCATGAATGCAATGTGAACGCCATGATATCCTCACATGCACTGCCACATCAAATGAACTGAATGCAAGCTGCCTGCTCCTCTCCTGCATCATATGTGGATGATGCGCGTGCACACAACTATGCTGGACACTACATTCGTATCCCTAGATGTCTTACTGCGTAATCCAAAAGTGGCATATTCAAGTTTCAACCATATTGTTTGTTAACATGTTTCGTAACTTTTCATTTGAACACCCCTCATATAACTAATCATTCACAAAAAATTATGAAATAAGGTTAAAACAACTGACATTAATAAATGTAGCTGGCAGATAAAAATCTCTCCTGAGTTAATGTTATAAATATCTACACAGTATCTATTGATTCGTAATTTTACATCTTTAAGCATCAGAACTGTGGAAGAATAAGATTTACGATTAAATTTTAAAAATTTCATTGCTTGTGTCTTTATACTAATTAGAAATGTTTTCCCCCACTTTCTGGTGTGATTAATGTCAATTATTAGCTCTTTTCATTGGTAAGTATTTGATTTATTGAGATTTAATGTTTAATTCTTCAGTGCTTGCGAGATTAAACTATTCTTCCTTCCCAAATATGCACAATATCTGTCGGTCATAAATTTGTAATAATGCAAATTTGTTTCTTTGCGGTGCTTGGCTGGAATGCAAGCTGAGCTCATTCATGACCATGAAAGGGTTATGAATAATGATAAGCAACCCCCTTTTTTTCCCTTTGAAAAGAAATTTCTGCCAGCTGTCTCCTTTTGTTTTCCTATGTTTGTTTCTCATTGGCTAACAAAGAAATTTTGTTCAAACTGCATGCCTAATATTAAATTTTGAAAAGGGAAGACATAATTAAAATAGCTCATATTTATGGTTTTCAAGAGCAAATGCAATTTTCGCATGACAACTTTTAAATGTATATGTAATTTATCATATGCCATACTTTTTTGTATATAAGCTGTATTTCCTTCACAAAATAAATGATAATTAGGGTTATGGCTCATACATGCAGATTATTAGAAATAGGTACATACAATCATGTGGCAATATAGTAGCAGGTATTTCATGATTGAGTGTAAAATCCATTGTTGGATGAATGTGTCATAGGATTGAACAATTTGAGTTCTGGTTGCAGGTCATATCATATGAAGGAAAATGTTTGACAAACAGTTTAGCTACAATGTACACTGCTCAAAAAAAAAAAAAAAAAAAGGGGGGGGGACAGTGCTATATCTCCTGTTCTACTGGGGCGATTCACGAAATTCAAATTGCGTTCTTCATGTCTCGAAAGCGCGACTTCGGATATATATTAGATTTATATATAGCACTATTCTAACATAGGTATTTTGACACAAAATCGAACTTTTTCTGAAATAACATATAAATTTTTTTACATATTTCGATTCTACGACTCAAATTATGCCAGAACACCAAGTTTTGTAAAAATCGTACGAGTAGTTTTTAAAATATTAGCTCTCAAGATTTTAGCTCCTCAATGTTAATTGAATTTAACAAATATTTACTTATATCTCTTTTTTATTAAATGTTTTTGATTTTTTCTCTCACATTTCGAAATTTAGGTTCATTCAAAATAAAATTTACCTATTTTTTGTGTTTTATTTTTTAAATTTCTATTTTTAAATAATTTTTATAAATTTCTCGAAAAAAATTTTGAATTATAACCTACAAAATTTTTACCATCATCTTAAAGTAGGTGTATTTTTAAGCATATCTGCAAAAAATTAGACTTTTTTATTCAAAATTTTCTAAGATATACACAAATTTACATATTTTCGCTTTTTGAAATTTGGCATCTTTGTTTTGAGCGATAATAACGCCAAATGTGGTCTATGGATTTTTGTTACACTGTATTGCCGCAGCTATTTTTAACCTTAAATTTCAAGTAAAATTTTATGGCGAATTAATTATATGACATTTTTTCCCTCAATGATGCATCATAAATATTTATTAATACTATATGAAAAGCTATTTTTTTAAATAAATTTTTTAATATTTTTTTTTAATTTCTCTCTCTCTCTCTTTTTTTTTTTTTTTTTTTTTGCTAAATAAGAGTAAATTTTTACCTTCGGCGTTTTATCGTCTGCTACTTTACTTCGTTTAAATCGAATTGTCTAAAACTGAGAATTTTCGTTTGATGTTTATTTGAATTTTATGACATTAACTGCACAATTTATTTCTGAACAAACTGATGCTTTTGAAGTGGCTGAAAGAGTGGCTGGTACTATCATCCATATTTTTAAAGCACGGTATATTTTTATAGAAACATAAGCTTTAGAATAATCAATTTTATAAAAGTTAAATTATGATATAAACATATAACCCTCTAGAGACTGAATTAATGGAAGTTCAGTGGTTATGTAGAAATGATCTGCAGCTACTTAATCGCTGGATAAGTCAGCTGTGGACAAGTAAGAATAATTATATAAACGACACCCGACATTCTGAATTCAATTAACAATGAGGATACGATGTTTATTAAATGAATTCAAGAAGTTTTAAAACATAAAAAATCAACTCATTTTTTATCCTAAAATGTATTTTTGTGCGTAGCGTATTTTCATTAATCTAATTTAAAATTCTAATAATTCTTAAAATTCGAATTTAGAATGTAATTGTCAAGATCTAAATCCTAATCATCAGTAAGATGATAAGTAATTATTACGGTTATTAATAAATCCTTCTTATAACGTAATTGCAAATATTTCAAAAACTTTCTGTCTGAATGCATATATTTTTCCGTGCAAATATTTAAAATTTTATATTAATCAAGATTGCACATGATATTATTTATTTGCACTTCAGTTCTTAACGTCAGTTCTAGTAGAAGTTACAAATCAATTATATTTAATTAAGGATTGGATTGGATTATTTAATTACAGCAAAGCACACGAGGGCTATCTGCCTAAAGGGAGGGATGCCTTCGTGGAGGACTTTCTACAGGAAACTGGCTCGTATACACGTTACACATTAGGAAACCACGAAAACACCCATGTAACCAGCCCGTTCGCGGGATTCGAACCTCGGACCGAACTACCAGTGATCAGCGTCTTTACCACTCGGCCGCTGGTGGGCTATTTAATTAAGGAATGACTAAGTTTAGAAACAGCGTTCCGTAACAGCAATTCAATTATTGGCGCCGTATCTTTCGTGTTACTCCCGATTGGCAAGCTACATGATTTTTAATGGTTATTCGGGTTTTGTTAGTAACTTCACTTGGAAATACTAACTTAAACTAGGTTAAACTAGGTTAGTTGGTTATTTGAACATAGAAAGAACGTGGGAGCTATTTGATTAAGATGAGAACCTTTGTAAAGAGAACCTAGAAAACTACGAAAACCGACCATGCAGCCTGGGTTAGACTTCGCAACAAACAATTAGTGTTTAAGAATCTTCAAATGCTAGGCAACTGGTGAGGCTCCAATTAAATCTCCAATTTAATATTTTATTTGTGAATATTTAAAATATTGTTGTATTCTTAGACACAAAAAGAATTTAAGTTTTGTTAACTCGTTAGTAAACTACCAAGTGGTAGTGCAAATGAATATTCAATTTCTTTTGCAATAATTGTATTCACTTAATATTCTTGGAATATGAGGTAAAGAAGGAACATTCTCGGAAGAGTAAAGAAGTGTTTAAATCCAGTGATATTAGGTTTGTCTTACAAGCTCAGGATCAAAACGATTCTGCGATTGCCCGAGTAGTTGACTTGTAAATGGCTGTGAATTAAGCAGATGACTTTTAATCTTACCTTTTCAGTCAGAAAACATATTCCCCCTCAAAAAAAGTACTTTGTATTGCATGGCAATGCATCTTTTCATTATTCAATAACCAGTCGGAGAACCGCTTGTCTTCCGAAAATAAGTATGTGTACTCAATCGTCCTGCATGTTCTTCAAATTTGTCTTCTTGTGATTTTTTTTCTTTCCTAAAAACTAAAGTTGCCTCTCAAAGGAAAGTTTTTTGACATTGAAGAGACAAAAGGAGTATGACATCTACTTTTAGAGGCATGTCAAAAACAGATATCTACAAGCCTTCTCTTCCATTACATGTTGTGCAGTCAGACAAAAAGTTGCATCAGCGTGCATTCTATAATCTATTTTTATTACACTCTGATTACTTTATTAACATACAGTGAATATATACTAAATCTTTTCCTTTAGCTTAAGTAATTCGGAATTTTTGACGGAATTGTTGTCGGAACTAGGACTT